CAGGCAAACCCACTGAATCACATTCATCAAGAGGATATATCTGGACAGGTGCATGAAGTAGATATCTACTAATTCCTTTTTCATATCTTCCAAAACCTGAGATTGTGGCCTCTGCCACAGGTTCATCTGTTTTGTTTGGTAGACACACTGACCTGATGTTTGGGCCTATAGGCACCCTTTTAGTCATTTTGATGAGTGCAATATCATAATCATAGTTAGATGGAGAACCAGTACCAACTCGCTGATGATTTGGGTGAATTATTATCTTTTCAGTCTCCATAGTGACTGGATTTTGGCTTTTACCATCAATTATTCCCCCTAACCAATTCATGGTGTTTTTTCATATCCATCCACTACGTGAGCTGCTGTTACAGCCCATTAATCATTGATTAAAGCTGCACCACCTCTGGGACTTTCCCTATGAAAGAGCTGCCAGGGAATCTGCTTCAATAATGCTGGCTTCCCACCAAAGACTGCCACCAATAGAGGCCTCTGTATTAATTCCATACACTAAAAAGTGAGAGATATATATGAAATGCATGAAAAAGAGATAATATATGCACATTTGAAGATAAAATCTAAAAACAATTTACCAGATTATTAGATGTACTCTATCCATAACAAACATGCAGATGTCAGTAGCCGTTTGACTAAACTGTTAATGCAGTCATTAATTTTTCTTGTGGTAAAGTGCATGTGGTTAACAATTGCATATAAGAGAACAAGAGTCTAAAAGTCATCAAAAAAGGTAAACTTGTTTGCTTTGGCTATGGCAGAAGAAAGAGAGAGAGGGAGATATGTGACTACTTTTCCCGTAAACCATGTGTTTTCAACCTGCTTACTCAAACAGTAAGGGTTAAAGTCTACAGAGATCATTTTCATGCATCTTTTCTTTACAGATTATTAGATGTTTTCACTCTTGTGAAATACAAAGGAGTTCCTAAAGTAGTTTTGAGGTAATAAATCATAATTTACAAATCTCCGCTGTTTGACATGGGATGCAACGGAGGTAGAAAACCTTTAAAAGTCACAACAAAAGTCAGGTTTGCTTGATTTGGCTGAAGAGGAACACTAATCTGGCACCACTGCAAGGCATGAAAAAAGAGAGATATGGCAGGCTGGGCAGCCCATGAGCACTTTACCTGCTGGATTACCCATTAAATTAGTTTAATGTTACTAACATTGGACAAAAAAGGCCTTGCCAGAATTTTTTTTTTATAAAATAGGAAATAAGAGACTGAAATCCTTTACTTGTGAAAATGGTTTTATTGGGGAGTATAAAACAACTTCATATAAAAGTTTAAAATTCTGAATTATTCATGGAAATAGCAGATACCTACACATCAAACATATACAGCAGTGAATAACTTTATTGGTGTGTATTAAAATTAACAATTGGTGTATTTTTGTGATTTGATGTTAGTTTTTTCCCATGGTTTCCTTGATCCAATCCAGGTAGTTTTGAACTTTAGTATAGAAGCCCTCAAAGCTTTTATTCCCACATCCAATAGGACCCCAAGATACAATGCCTGTAAGACGATAAGGGTTGTCTGGAGACCCATAGCCCAGAACAGGAGAAAACAAAGGACCTCCACTGTCTCCTTGACAACTGTCTACTTGGTCTCCTCCAGCACAGATCATGTTATCAGTGACAGGCAAACCCACTGAATCACATTCATCAAGAGGATATATCTGGACAGGTGCATGAAGTAGATATCTACTAATTCCTTTTTCATATCTTCCAAAACCTGAGATTGTGGCCTCTGACGGCCTCCATAACCGTGACAGGACAGGATGAGGATTCCCCGACGGCCTCCATAGCTGTGACAGGACAAGCAGGGAGTTCATAAACGGCCTCCATAACTGTGACAGGACAGGATGAGGATTCCCCGACGGCCTCCATAGCTGTGACAGGACAAGCAGGGAGTTCGTAAACGGCCTCTATAGCCGTGACAGGACAGACAAAGAGTTCCCAGACGGCCTCCTTGGCCGGAACAGGACGAGCAGAGAGTTCATAGACGGCCTCCTTGGCCGGAACAGGACGAGCAGAGAGTTCATAGACGGCCTCCTTGGCCGGAACAGGACGAGCAGAGAGTTCATAGACGGCCTCCTTGGCCGGAACAGGACGAGCAGAGAGTTCATAGACGGCCTCCTTGGCCGGAACAGGACGAGCAGAGAGTTCATAGACGGCCTCCTTGGCCGGAACAGGACGAGCAGAGAGTTAATAGACGACCTCCTTGGCTGGAACAGGACGAGCAGAGAGTTAATAGACGGCCTCCTTGGCTGGAACAGGACGAGC